CTGTCTCTGCACTGTGCATGTGGACATTCAATTACATTCTCTGACTGTCATGCTCCTGTTTTTTTTTTTTTCCACCCTGTCAACTGTGTGAGGGTGTTAATGAACCTACAGCTTATCAGAGTAAAAGGTAACTACAGTACCTCAAAATACAAAAAAAAAAAAAGTCAAGAAACCAGCAAAACACTGAACAAGGAGCTTTTTGGACTCTCAGCTCGCCTAGATCTCTGTGAGGCAAAGTGTCCCCCAACAAGGTTATTCTAGAATAAAGTCTCCCCCTTGTGGATCTCTCACATAATAAAAGCTCCATCAAATACTTAATTGCATAATAAAGTCTGTGCTCCTTCCTTTGTAGGTAAGAATTTCAGAAGAAAATAGGAACATGTACTGAAATCATTGTATATGGTTTACTTCAACTCAGTGGACTCAATCCCACCTCAGGCAAGGCAAGCTGTTTTGTTGTAAGATACATTATGATTCTGTGATAAATTCATTTGAAAAACACTAAAACCCTCCAAATAATGTAATTCCTTCCCATCTCCTCATAAGTTAGTTTATGACGGTTGGTTTAGTGACCTCCCACAAACTGTTCAACCCAAGAACGTCAATGATTTAACTGTTTAGGTGAAAATTCAAATTCCAAACTCTTTCTATCTAATAGTCATTAATATAAAACATAGTGAGAGTCCCTCCTATTTTAAATGCACGAAGTTTACTATCCTAGAAAAAATAGTTTCATCTCAGAACAACCTATTGTGTCTCAGAGATTAAGGGGCTATAGCACTATTTGCAGAATGACTCTTCCTCAAACACTTCATTAACTACACTATTCTGTGATCTGCATTAATTTAAAGGGATCGCAAAGATTTCTTTGCATATAATAATTTACATTATCATAAGTTAAGAAATCATTGTGATCACTTAAATTATCACGTTGTTCTCCGTGCTCTCTTAAGGTATTTAAATGTGGTTCTAATAAATCATACTTTTTGTCTGCCTGATTGATTTTGATATGGGTATTTTTTATTTTCTAAGAAACAGAATCCTTGATGGCTTGAAATATTATTCAATTACATACGTGACAAATTCATATTTTATTCGTATTTCCAACTGTTGAGTCAATACTGGGTAAAAAGCTTTTTAACTATCCAGAGACATGTTCTCGCATTCATTTCAGAATAGTAATATAATGGTTAATTATTTATTTCTTGCAGGTTCCGGAATAGTGCTAGGTTTCCTACTTTCATTAACAGTCTCTTATTTGTATGCAGTAATTGCTTTAAAAATATTAGCATTGTAATTTCTTGCTAGCACTATGATAAATCAACAGAAGTTCTTATCCCCACGCCTCCCCACGGAAAAGCATAATTCTGCTTCCCTTGATGCCAGTGACAAAGCCTCTTTAATTTCAGGATTACACTCAAAGAATTCATGAAAGATGTTATTTTGACAGCCCGGGACTCTTGTCCTTTCTAATTACAGAACAGATGCAATAGCTAAGCAGTGCTGGACTCTGCCAATGTGCCTCTCTAGAAGCAACAGCTCCAGCTCCTCGAAGTAGAAGGGCAGCTGCTACTTCTCCACTTTGTTTCAGTCCTTGACCTCTCAATAGCAACCATCAGCAAACCACGTTTTCCATTCCAAATGTGAGAGGTTTCAGGATATAAACATCTGGCTATTAGGAACAAAAAAGACATCATTCGCTCATTTCAAACATCCATCAACAATGACTGTCAACTGTTGTTGGTCTGGGACGTGCAGAGGCAAAATGCCAAGAACCAATCTCTGAATCCACTGCATTTCTGAATTTTCTTGTTTTAAGAGTTCAGTGCAACAACAAAGTTTGCACTGCTAAACTACAAAAGGCCGCTCAATCTAAGAAGGTGGGTTCTGATCTGTGCCACTCGATTCAGGGGACAAAACCACTGAGAAACAAAATGTCACAAATCTGAACAATTGACAGACTCCTGCAAAAAGGCTCTTCAATCCAGTAAAAAGAATATCACGTATTTTAGCTGTATTCTCAGAGACCGTCTGCTTATCTGCACAGGATGGATGAGGAACTACAATTCTTACTGAATATAAAATAAAAGGAAGGAAATAATTGGTAATTACAATATTGCAAGCTGTATTTTAAAATCATTGGTACTTTACTAAGTACCTTGATTTTCTGGCAAATAGTTTCCATACACGATCACCCAGCACTACTAAATGAACTCTATTGCTAGTAGTGATAGACATTTGTGACACATGATATTTCACAGTGCGGACAATTGTTAAATTTCATTCCCGAAATGTCTATATTACCATATGTCAATACTCATAATTTAATTATGGATTTAGAACAACTTTAGTACTTATGATATAGCTTTTACATATTATGTGCATACTTACTCTCATTAAATGCATCAAAATGGGTACAACACCACAACATGAAACTAGGTTTTCCTATTAAAGCAAGCTATACAATCCAGAAACAAAGTCCTTCTAAAGTTGAGAACCTGTTTCAGCACCTAGATCTGAATGATCTAGACATTTAGTCTACTCCTGTCAGTCACACACGAACACATACCATGGGTGAATTCTGTTTAATGGTCATTCAGCTTCAGGTCATTCAACCTGACAGATAATTCCAAGATTCTGTATGGGAAATCAAGGAAGTTGTGTCATGAAAAATCTACCATCCATTGTCATTTCCCACTGTCACCTCTGTGCCATCAAAATATTATGTACCATTGCTGAAGTCATTCCCCCCTTACCTTTCCAAGCCTGCTGTCCTCATATAACAGGTACTTTTCATCTCCTTCCAGATCTCCTTGTCTCTTCAAATAACACATCCTTCTCACAGCTACAGAATTTTATCTTGCTCTCTTCTTGCAGCTCTCCTAATATTCCTTCAACCTCCCTGATTCCTTCATTTTCTCTCACTTTGAGCTGGAATTTTATGCTGCTTGCTATTCAAGCTGTCTTCTCTGCAGTCTCCAGTGTCCCACCCAAACCCAATGTTCTCTGAATTTTTTTTACCATTTCTCAGTCCCTGCAATCTCTCTCCCTATTTTCATCATCACCGATCCTGCATCCTTCTTTTTCCAAACCATTAATGCCTGCGATGTTTTGCATTCACCTTTTTTTTTTTCTGCATGAAACCTATATATTCTGAGATTGTAAAACCATGTTAAATATACAGGTCTGTTAAAATACTAAAACAAATATACTATTAAGAGTCAAATCTGAGGCCATCATCTCCTTATGGTAATACAGTGTCCTCACTGCTCTGTATACCACAGTGGCACAGTTCTCTGCATGATCTCATGTGCATTAAAATAAGACAAAGCAAGCTGGGAACACAGCAGGGACTGAACAATCTTCTTTTTGACCCCGAGAAGTTATGTGGAAAAGTTATTAAAGCTTCAGCAGATTATTACTGTGAGGCATGAGCTATGTGAAATGAAATTCAGAAATGGAGTATCTGTGGGTTTTGGGCTATATTACAATATATTAAAAAGCCGGAGGATTGGCTTTCTCCAAAACACAGGGAAACATTAAAATTACCCTGGAAAACACAAAATAGTGATTTTAAGTTTCAAGAGAACATTAAGTTCTCTTAATGAAGGGTTGGGAGTCAGGAGAAATCAATGTAAGAGGTTACCAGTATCAGAAGGCTACTCTCATATACACCCTAAAAACCCGTAGATACCTTCTCATTTATTATTGCTTACAAAAATCATGTGTATATATATCTATACCTCATCACTACAGTCAAGTTCAAGAAAAAAAAAGTATTACAAGAGAACACCTCCCACAGTAGGGAGCCCCATGGCCAAAGTGACTTTTTCTCCACAGACATTACAGCTGAGAATTTCCAGAAGAACCACATAAGAAAGCAAATAAAGCCTACAAGGGACCATCATGAGCTACTTTACTGTGTTAAGAGCCCTACAGATAACTCTTGCATAGAAACTGAAGCCAGAAGGAACAATAAAAATCTCTGTATATCAAAGTCACTAATCTTCACACAGTACCTCTAAACTGAGCTCAGTAACTTGTTTGACAACCTATCTTTCAGATGGATGTCAGTCTGGATGTGAAAACATGAGAAAGTTAAGAATCCTCACTTTCGTTGCTTATTTTTTGAAGTAAATTTTTACCACAAGAAGTGTGTGTACTAAACATTATCCGGGGTTTTGGCAGAAAGGGGTCCTTGGAGTTTCCAGGTAAAAGCAACAAACTGAACACTGCACAAGAAGCAGAGCCTTCTGAGAAAATCACTGAAACTCGAGTATCTCTTCAGCGTGGATGTGCCACCTTGCTCACTTTATGTCATTATGTCTGTCCTGTGAGATATCAAAGCTTATCTCTGGTAAATGGGTATTACAGTCTGACAATACAGCCCGGTAATTCCCGTGTCAAGGGGAGGGACATCATTTTGTTCACCATTAAAGATGTGTCCCCAATTTCTTGAATGGAGACTACAGTTGAGAACTTCTGCTTCCCAGGAGGAGGGTGAAAAGGTCGTTTGTGCAGGAGATACACTTCCCTTCAGTTTCCCCAATACGAAACAAGCTAAGAATAAACACACACCTATTGACTTTCCAGTAAGTAAACTTCCTTCTTTAACCCTTCTTAATATCGTCATAAACATTTGTAGCGTAAACATAAACATTCCAGCATAAACATTCTAGCACCCAACATCAGAAACAAAACACTTCACCCTCCGTCTTCCACTGGGCAAGCGAAAAGAAAACCAACGCTCCACAAAGGCCTAACCACAGGCCGGACACCGGGTCCCGTTAATCCACGCACCCAGGGACATCGAGGGAGCACGCCAGCGAAGCCAGCCCGGACACCGAGGCCGCAGGGCAGCCCATCCCGCCGGGGGCGGACCCGGCGCCGCACGGCGGGCAGGAAGGAGAGCTCTGCAGGTGGCGGGCCGGGTGACCCCTCGGGAGGACAGGACACGGAGGGGCGGGTGCGAGGGGCGGCCCCGCGGCCGGAGGACTCACCTTGTGCTCCAGGACGCTGATGTAGCCCTCCAGGAGACCGGCCCCGACGGGGAGCGCCGGGCGGTGCTGGCCGCGTCCCGGCGGGCGGCTGGGCTCCGCCGCCACCTGCTGCTGCTGCTGCTGCCGCCGCCGTGGCTCCGGGTGGCCCCCGCCGCCGCCGCCGCCGATGCCACCGTACATGAGCAACAAGCTGGTGCACATGGTGGTGAGCGCCAAGCAGACGGCCAGCCCGTGGCGCTGCGGGGGGCAGAGAGAGAGGCCGCTCAGCGCTGCGGGGCAGCGGGCTCCCCC